TTTGTACAATAGCCGGGCTCTTCCAGGCCTCTGGTCAGGGCATCTTATGGGAGTCTTAGCAACAGTGTTGAGCATTTCAGGTCCAGAAAGTACAAATCCAGACCAAGTTTTTGTTTCTACCAACCAGTTCGGCATAAAGAGTCACAGTCACAGAGTATTAAACTGGTTGGTAGAAACAAAATCTTGGTCTGGATTTGCAGGTTCTGGACCTGAAATACCCAACACTCTCGGTAAGACTCGCATGAAACGCCCTGATTAAGCAACGGCGCAAGAAAGTTGAAACCATGATTTACACACATTGGAGCAGATAATAGTTGCATTAAGCGACAGAGAAAGAGCATCGACACATAATCAGCGAGAGCAGGAATTGTAAGCTGCACAGCATGGCGATAATTGTGTTGCGTAAAAACATATTGCACCAGGAGATATAAATTAAGCCCATAAATTAGCCCAGGATTCTGTGCAGCTGCGAAGGAACCCGAAAGTGCTCAGCAGAAAGCCCAGAGCTACAGATACGGGTCGATCCGTAGAAGCTGAAGAGCTCAGCAGAGCTTCCCTGCAATTAGGATGCAGCCAGGAGGTCAGGGCAGAAGAGGAGCCGGAGGAGGTGACATTGGAGTTGCATCTTGAAGAGCAGGAGAGGTTTTACAGTGCTGGGGATCCGGGGAAGCTTGCAGTCAGAAAGAGCAGCGTCATGTCACAGGGAAACATCGATGCAGATTTTAATGCGAGGTAATAGGATCTGGACCTGACGCGTTAGCAGAATACTGTAATAGCAACACGCTCGATCAGTCAGTCTCTCTCAGGTTGGTGCAGGGACCTGAGCTGCCTTGTCAACTCACATCTGTGGTGAATCCAGATATGAAGATGAGCTTTAAATCATACCTAATGTTCCATTACTCTCACCATCAAGCCCCCGATGGGTGTCGCTGGGCGGGAATCGGTGAAGGTCACCTCCGTCTCCCTGTTGAAGAAATCACTCGTAACTTTCACTTGATAAATTAGCTGTAAGGTGGCGGCTTTCCATGAAACGTGATTGATGAAGATGTCCATGAATTATCCGTGACTAGTTGTAGCGGTCATAGCGAGGATAAGGTTGGGGAGTATGATCTACACTGGGATGACCCTGAGGTAGACTCAGATATTTTTGATGTTCTACAGGAAGAATCTTAGCCTTAATCCCGGTCATTCCAGCCAGATCAGTGAGGATCAGTCAGCTCTGGGGAGCTCAAGTTCTTTGTAATATAGAAAGTTGAGATTGTTAGACCTTCAGTAGATGTGAAAGAGGACAGAAACTGAGGACTGTCTGGCCAGGATGTCGATGAGTCAAGATCAGAAAAGACAGGCCTGTGCGTGCAGAGCCAGAGATGCTGTGCTCTTTGTTTACACTCAAAGAGTAATTGGATCATAGCCTAATCACTTAATTGGATCAATTAGTGCGTGAATTTAATACATTAGATCCTGCACTCCAGGTGCTCTGTGTTTGAGCCTTTCAGAGAGACCTGTACACTCTGAATGATGGCAGGCACTGTGGTTTCTGGGGGCCAGGGGCTGAACTCCAGATGAGGTGGGACACCCATAGTAGCTTTTCTCCTATGCATCTGGAGCTTCAGGAGGATACTCATTATTTGTAGTTGATGATAAAGAGGGATTATTCAGACATTGTGAACTGGGGACTTCTTCCAAGACATAGATCTGTATGTATTCAGGCTTGAACCTTGGAGGTTGATAGGTTAGCATGTTTTGCATGGTAAAGCTTGGCTTATTTAGATTTAGATATATGCTGAATGTTGGTCCATTGTGGTTAAATAAGTACTGTGTAATGGTCACCTGCTGGGGTTCTGTTTATGATTTCTGCGTAAGACGTGGCTGGGATTTGAATGTTTTCGGTATATGACCATGATGCCGATGCAATATCTAGGAATAACCAGGCCAGAGGAAGCTGTGATGAAATTGTGGGGGCCTAGGCAAGGAAAAGGCAGCCAGCACTGTCAATAACACTGGAGGCCAAACCATTATCCATCTGTGGAAACTGTGTCTGTGAGGCCTTTATAAATGCAGGAGAACCTCAATTTCTTCAGGCCTTTAGGGTCTATGAAAGTGCCAGGAGACGTCGATGTGTGATAAGCTTCCCCACCCACGTCTCCGTACAGCCCTTCTGCCTGTCTGATGTTTCTCCAAGTCGAGGACCTCGCTAACAATATCTCGCTGTTGAGCGATTTGTAAAATGCTGAGTTGTATTCTCAGTTTAGGCTTTTGAATATTCTAGGGTTCTGGTCCATTTTAGCATGTCTAAGTCGCAGTGTGTCCACTCTCGGGGGGTGAACCGACAGAGTTAGGTGTCAAGTAAAGGTCAAAGCCGGTGTGTAAGGCAAGGGAACACCTTCACCTGCCCGCATATATGCACATATGGACAACCGTATGAGCATTTCCAGCAACTGCACTCAATTACGCGACCTGCTGTGACGGCCGGTGGAAGGCCAAATCACCTGATCGCCTTAAAGTGTGCTCCACATCCCTGTCTTTGCTTATCCACCCTCTGATTCATGCTCTGGTATTTTCCGGAACACTTCAAGGGCACAGCATGGAAGTGAGCAAGTGAAATTCAAAGTTCTGAGTGTCGCGTTTGGGCTGTCCTGGGAGTTCCGGGTCAGTGGCTTCATTGGTGATGGGCGAGTTGGAGACAGTGATATGCCGACGGGGATCTTCGGCCTGACCTCGGGCAATCGGAAGGGCGCTGGTTCAGCTCATTCCACTAGCCATCCCATAATAAGATTGCGGGAAATCTTGGGAAGGAGAGTCGCCGGAGCGCAAGTGCCTCTGGGGATTTCATCAAGGAAATCGGCTCCTACGCCAGTTAGAGCTCATGTCAGCCGACCCTCCAGGCTTTTTTTCTTACCAGCTATCACTGTCCTCCCTCATCTTCTGCCACATACCCAGTGATCAGAGTGATGACGATGCAACAGTGCGATGTTGACGCCTCAGCACGTCCACAAAAGCCCTTTAGTATCTCTTTCTGCTCAGTGCCGTAAGACTCTTACCATCTGATGGATCAGGAAGGTACCAGCGGATTTGCAAAGCTGCTCATGCTGGAAGAATTTTAAATGTGTTTCTCAACGACGAGACCTGCCCTTAGCTAGGGTAGGATGATGTGGTTTCTTGTCCTATTTGTTAGCTAGGTTCTCTTGCATTGCTATCCTCTAGGAAAGAAACATTTCTATTGCGGTTTTGGCTCATGATCTACATGCAGCAGAGGTATTGTGGCTGCAGAAGCTCTACCCAGCATTCTGTGCTCTTGGCCACGCCCCCTTCATGTCCTGTACATGGCTGAGGTCTTCTATAGGCCTCTAAATGTAGTTAATGGATAGTGAAAGCTACTCTTATCCTAACAGGCTTCTGCGAAAAGGAGTTTCTACCCGGGGGCAGTGATTTGCGGATTCCGTCTCATGCCCAAAACTGCCCCTCACCCCCCCATTCCAGCAAACATGCACAAACAACCTGCCGGTCCATCTGTTCCAGGGCTGTGCGTGGGGCGCGGGGCGTGAGCAAGTGGCAGGGATGGCCGGGCAGGCAGACTCAGCGCGGCCCCTGGGACCCAGCATAGCCAAGCCCAAAGATAAACGATTTGGCCGGCGTGAGCCAAAAATCTAACGAAGCGGAGAGCCCCCAAAGCCGTGTGCGGGAAGGGGGGGG